TGTGCACATATAAGCCTTCAGACATAAACCATTGACCAAGTCTGGGATGAGAACTGGACCCAGCTGTACCTAGACTCCTCTTTGAGAAAGAGTTTCGAAAGCAAGGGGGTCCTTTCTGAACCTTGTGACTCAATGGGAGAGTCTCCCTGACAGTTTTGTCTGACCCAGTCCTCTATTCAGTAAATAATCCAGTGTACCTTACCATCGAACCTTGTTAAACCGTCAAATTTACCATGGAACTTTGTTAACTGCTTTATATCCGTAAAGTATATCATTCCTTCTCTCTTATGAGTGAAGCGCATCACTCCATCCATGACAACTCCAAAAGCATAATCTATGTAATGTCAGTTGCACAACCAAGTGTGTTGTTAAAAGTAACAGCCCAGGTAAGCCATAACATACAATACCCAAAGTTTTTTACAGTATCACCTGTGTTATGCAGGAAATAATGCAAGTACAGTAGTAATATCACTGGATGAAAAATTAAAATCTGCAGAACCTGGTGTCCTTTGAATTTTCAGAGAATAAGAAAATTGAGAAATGTTAAAGCCACTACCATTGTTAAGAGCCAGCACCCTGATGCATAATTATTTCAGTTTTATATTTCTTATATAAATATAAGAATAATAAATATAAGATTCTTTCATCTTAATTACCCTTTTTGTACAATTTTGGTGTGGTATACTTGAAAAGGATAAAGCTATTGCACTTGCATAACAAGCATTTAAAATTATTTCATCTGTTATTATAAAAGGATAGTTAGACACAAATATTGTAACCTGACAAAAGTCAATGCAGTGTCCCAAAACTGAAATCAAAACACTTATGTATTATTTGGAATCAAACCACTTATGTATTATTTGGCAACATTACTTTTAAAACTCCTTTGGAAAGTGTTTTTGTCTAAAATAATTTTTACTTTTTAATAATGCAACTGGGAGATGTATGTATGCTGGTTAGAAGAGAACAATGCTTCATGAACAGGGAAGATGTTCGTTTTGAAATCACCTGAGAGTACTTCAACAAATTCTCACATCCTTTTGGTTATTTCCAGTTAATTCAGATCTAAAATGAGTTTATTCATTTGTAGTCTGTGTTTATGGAGTTAAACTGAGTAAAGAAGCTCTTCAACATTTTATTATTCTTCAGTCACAAGTTTCCTGACCTCTATAGCTATGCAGCTGATGAAAGTCTAGTCAAAGACAGGAGTGCAAGACCTGACAACTATAAAGTAAATTATACCACAGCTTTCCTGCATATCACCCCCTCATCCCTCAAACCTAAAACTGAAAGACATAGAAATCTTCACTGGAGTAAGTCTGTTACAAAGCACACGCATAATCTGTTGCCTTTAGTCCATACAGTTACAAGTTTTAACTTCAGCTAGCCATATTCAGCTTGGGAAGCGACACCTAGTATCCAGTGTTGATGCAGATAATGTTATCATAACTTAAGATGCGCATAGTCTGAATCACAGAATCACAGAATGTTATGCTCTAAAATAATTTGTTAAACATGCAAAGAAAGAACAAGAACAAAAAAAACCCCACAGTAAATGGAAGTATAAGAGAAGTAAGAAAAAATAACCTTGATTTCATCAATGTCAGTGCAAATTTGAAACAGGCACATATTCTCAGCAATTTCAGGAGTTACTTTATCACCAATTTAAAACATTAATAATCAAACAGAAAAAAATCTTGTTATCAAACAACTAATAGATGATAACACTGCAGAGTCTTTTCCATTTACAGCAGAAATGTCATGCTTCAAATGCATATTGGCCTCATTCCTGCAAAACAAAACGCAGCTCTTCACAGAGAAGCCTCCGCTGTCTCACACCCTGTAGAGACCTACATTCCTGTTTCTCCTAGGATGTTTTCTCTGAAGTTGTGGCTCAGTCATGAAAGAACATACCTACATTAGAAGAATGATGGCAAAACAACTATCTACCATTACCTCCTGTATGGCTGCCTAGGAGAGTTTAATTGGCAAACTGCTGCAAAATCAAAGCCAAACCCTGAGGATGTGCTCAAGAGTTTGCTTGACAAAGTGACACAGATAAGGAACAAGGCAGCTGCGTGCAGATGCTGAAGAGATTGTCTGCCAAATAAGAGTTGTTTAAATCTGTGCATGGAAAGGAAAACGGCTCAGTTAGTCCAAGCAGCATGGCACTTAACAATCCTATCCAAGACTTGCTTAACACACAAAGAAACTCAAAGGAGCTTGAGAGATGTGGTACCTTTTTTTTTTTTTCATGTTAATCTAGAATCCAAAGGTATTGATTTACTGCTTGTCTGCTCAAATGCCCCTTTCTTTTCCTATGATGCTGAGCTGAGGTGCCTGGCTAGCATTTGCTGTCTTTCAGTTGAGTTATATCTTGTCTGGAAAATACTTCTCTTCTTTCCCTGTTTCTAAATTTCTCACTTTTACAGGATGCCAGGTTACCTAATGTAATCATAGTTTGCGCTGAAATTAGAAACTGCAGCATCCTCAGTGTTGCATATTCTATTTATACGAGTATTCTATTACATATGAATAACATTTCTTATAGTTGCACTCTCAACGTGCAAAACATCTTTGAACTTGTAAGATGGTTCGTGTCATGAAGGCATTTACATTCTAAGGACAGAGAAGAAGAAAAGGGAAAAATTAAAAAAAAAAAGAAAAATAATTATATTAAAAAGAAACATAAACTTACTATATTGAATGCCTACAATCTTACAGAATCAAAGAAACGGGTCCTTAGAGGGCCTGAAATATGATCAGAGTACAGGCCTTGCATACAAGCCCCAGGATCAGATGCAACGCACAAGGAGCCATGTGAGTGAAGGCACCGGATGATTCTGTGAGAAACTGACAAACAGGCAGTCAAGGGTGGAAATCTTAGAACTGAAGATGGGAACTCTTTACACATGGCTGAGCAAGAATAAACTTCACTATGAAACAAAAGTAAATAAACTGACAGGATCTAAAAGTTTTTATACGTGTTTTTTATAAATCATAATATTATGAAAAAATATCTAATTAAATAAATACTGGGAAAACAAGTACGAGGAATGTAAGCATATGTTTCTTTTTCACAACTTTTACCTACTTGAACTAGAATAGAATAGGAAATAGTGTTATTTTATTAATAGTAATATTGTTTATCTGATTTGCTAGTACTTTTCTATACTAGTTTTGCTTTCCTCATAAGCTTGATGAGGAAAACCATACAATTTAGAAGAAAGCATGCTGTTCAATAAGCATTTGGCAAAATTTAAACATATATTATGCATTTGAAAATAAACCTACAATCAGAGACTCTGCTTTGAATAATGAGATGAATATTTTAGTTCTTTATTTTTTCAAGCTTGAAACAGATTTGATTTAGTGTTTGGATCTAAGTACCAAGGCTTGAAAAGTCATTTTCACATTCTCATATTATCTTATGAATTATTTGATAGGTAAGTCTCATATGTACAGACCTGGCACACTGCCATTCTCTTTTTTAATACACAATTTTAATTTAAAAAAACATTTTCTCATATAACTATTTGACTGGACTTCATGTCCATGTTGACATACAACTGCAGCACCATCAGAATAGCTTATGTATTAAATATTTTATAATCTTGTTATCTTAATTTGCCTGTGCAGAATTCTAGCCGAAGGTAAGAATAAGAAGTCATTATGAGGTAATGGTACATAATAGATTTTAGATGGTTCATGGATCCCATTGCAAGAGCACCTGCTGAAGCCTCCTGAGGTAGCATCTGCTTCTTCATGTTTTTACAGTACCTTGCTGGAGGGTGCACAGTTTAAACGCATACAGTAATGAATCCATTTACAACAAAAGCTATCTTATTTTCCTTTTCTAGTCTATTAAGCTCTGTATTTCTGTCGTCAGAAATAAATTAAGCATCTGATTTGCAGAGGGCTATTTATCTCCTAGTAGTTGCCTCTCAGTCACTGAAAGAACAGTAAAAACCCTTGTTTCTTACAGTGATATGCCTGAATCGAATCATACTCAGTTGCTTATTCTATTTGATTCATCTAAGGATAGACACCCAGCAGTCACATCATTCTTTCTAACTTAGCTGAAACAAACCATGATGAAGAACAAATCAGTCATGATAAAAATTGTGATTTTCACAGAAGATACTGAATTAAACTACTGTAAATGTCCTACAAAAAGCCATCAATGTAAGTGCTAATTGAGACAAATGACAAGATTTTGGTAGCAGACGCTGATGAGGGGGGCTGCAGGGGTGGTTTCTGTGGAAGGATATTGAGGCTGCCTCCATGATGGACGCATGCCTGTTCCAGTTGCCTCCACAACAGACTCACCATAGGACACAGCTAAGCCCATCTGCAAAGCTGGTGGCTCTTAAGTAAAAACACTTTTAAGACAGATGAGAAAACATTGAGAGGGAGGGAAAAAATGGAACAGAGGGACAGGAAAAGAACAAAGTGAACAAGGTCAGAGTAGTAGAAGGTGCTTCATGGCAGAGCTGGTGACACCCCTGAAGGGATTGAGGCCCATGGACAAGCTTATGAAGGGACTGCAGTCCATGGAGGATCTATGATTGGCACAGGGACACCCTGAAGGGACTGCAGTCCATGGAGGATCTATGATGGAGCAGAAGAAACAAGTGAGAAGGAAAAAGCAGCAGATAGAAACTGTTACACCCTGATCCTGCTCCTGTGCCACCCTCACCAAAGGGACTGCCTGTAACCTGTGGCAATAACAAGGAGAGTGGACACCGGCGGAGGGCATAGGAAAGTTGTCTGGAGTGAAGTTGAGTCTGGGAATGGGAAAGGAAAGGTATTTTCTTAAGTGTTTAGATGTTTGTCTTCTTTGTTTCTCTATACTTCAATCAGTAATTAAATGTTTAGGTTATGTTAATTGGCAATAAATTAAATTAAATTCCCCAAGTAAAGCTGTTTTGCCTGTGACAGTAAGTAGTGAGTGATTTCTCTGTCTTTATTTCAGCCGATGAATTTCCTCATGCCTTTACCTTCTACTTTTTCCTCCATTCCATTGCGGTTTCCCCATTATTCGCTATGTGGGTGCTTGGCTGCTAACCAAGGCCAACCCACCATAAAAGTCAAAGAAAATCAAGTATTTTCAATCCTGTATCCTGTTTTTAGTTTACATATAAATCCTTGGGTTTGGGTAGAACTTTTTCTTTTTAAAGTGGAAGACAATTGAGTACTCATTGAAATAAGATGCTCGTAGTCTTTACAGAAATTGAGTCCTTTTATGTATGCAAATGCAGAAAAAAAAAAAGAGAATATTCTTACTGAATTTTCTGCAGTCCTACTGACCCTTAAAAAGAATCTTCAGCCTCAAATTCTGAACCTCTTTTGATTAGAGACTGACAGTGAAAATAGGTTGCATGGTGATCTTTGTAATATAAATAATCTCAGTCTAGAGGAGGTGTAAGTTATGCAACTCAACTTCACTGTGACTTGGGAAGAAGGGGTGTGTGAGGGAGATCAGAAAATCTGTCTTATACAGCACAGAGAGTTTCTAATTTTGTCACTTCCATTTCTGCTGTAGAACATAAATCATCAGTTAATTGATGTTGATTACTCTCTGTTTGTCAGTCTCTTTTCACACGTAATGACTGATAGGAAAAGAGGAAATGGCCTCAAGTTGAGCCAGGGGAAGTTTAGGTTGGATATTAGGAAAAGATTCTTCACCAAAAGTGTTACCAAACATTGAAACAGGCTGCCCAGGGAAGTGGTTGAGCCACCATACCTGGAGGTATATAAAAGACATGTAGATTTGGTGCTTAGGGACATGGATTAGTGGTGGACATGACAGTGCTGGCTTAACGGTTGGGCTTGACGACCTTAAAGGTCTTTTCCAACCTAAATGGTTCTATGACTCTATTTTAAAATGAAAAATTTATATTTTTTTTTTTTTCAGAATCATTAATCGTCAATTTATATCTATCACATAGAAATGGAAAATGATATTTTTTTTTTCAATAGCAAAAATAAATAATAAAATTTTGTGCATTTTAATGTTACGATAATTTTCCTTGCTGCAGCTTTGCAGGTAAAGATATTGATTTTGCTTTGTAGCTTTTTTCCCTAATTCCTTTTTTTTATTTTAGAGGAAGTGTACTGATCTATTTTTTGGTAGCTAGATGAAAAAACCACCTCCTTATAGGACATTCCGCAAAGCCAGCAGTGAAAATTACTGTCACATCTTTCCTACACAGATATCTAAAACTGATTAAATATTTGAAATTTAGTGCAGTACTAGTGCTCATTTTGACAAAGACTAAAATTGAAAAAGGAATTGAATAAATAATAATGACACAAGGGACCAGAACTTGGTATAAACTCATTAGGCACTGACTGAGATTCCCTTTAGCATCTACTAAGGAAACCCAGCTGTTTCTGTACCTCAAAATAGAAATTTTCTCAACTTAGACTGGCAGGTATATCAGCTGTTCAAGGGCAGTAGTTTCCCTAGGAGAAATTTGGATAAGAAAAGACATATGATCCTATATAACCAAAACATTCATTGAAACGTGATCAACAAAGTCTGCAAAAAATGAACATGAAGTTCTGAGCATTGTTATGTAACTTTATACTGTACAATATTCCCTTAATGATAACATTTAAAGCAAAATAAAACTTCTTTCACTTGTCCAGATCCAGCATTTCACTGTAAAATAAATATACATCTGTTTACACCAAGGATTTGCATTCCTTCAAGCATTAGGAGAAACAAA